GCCTAGTTGTAGCAAATGAGGTGGGAAATTACAGGAAAAGAAAGCTCTTAAGATTACAAAACTTGATTTGTTGTAATCCTGAGTATTTGGAGTTGATCCCTGTTTCTGCAAGAGATGCGTACAGTAAAAATTTTGTAACCCCGTTGTACTGTAGGAAGGTGCTTTTGCTTAGTGAAAAAATTTCTCATTTTCTGAATGCCCAATTGCAGAATATTGAAATCAGCAGGTGTTGCACTCTGAATAAACTAAGTAGGACCAGAATGCTAAGTATTTTAAAAATGAGGTTTTATAATCTCAGATCCAGCAGCTAGTGTTAGTGGTATTTTTCACCTTAATTTGTCTCTTAGTTCCCATCTGAGAAACAGGACAATAACTTTGTTTCAACTCACAGAGAAGTCTGCAAAGATGATTTAGGATTACAAAAATGTGACAGTAATGAGCATAAATGGCCTGAGCCAAAATAAGTGTAAAAATATGTCCCCAATGAAGGCGACCTCCAGAAAAGTTTGAAAACCCTTGTCTCAGGTGTTGTTCAGCAAAACAAAGTCTTTGGAATCTAGTCTTGTTTAGCACCTGGAATCCCCGCGTGTGACAGCCACCTATTACATTCTACTCAGTATCTGGCCCAACTCTCAACTTTTTCCTCAAGGGTCCTTTCACACAGGTTGTTTGAAGACTTGTTAAAGTTTACTTTGTAGAGCGTGATGTAGGCTAGTTATCTCTAACGTGACACATCACGGTACAGGAGAATGATCCTGTTCTCAACAATCATAATACTGTTCCCCTTGCAGAATCATAAATTTTCAGATGTAGTAGACTATATTTCTGATTTTTAATCTGAAAATGCTTTTAATCATCTACAAAACATGACACAGTCAAAAAGGTTCAGCATAGCTATTCAATTAATAGCATTTTCCTACTTTGATAATATTTTAGCTGTCCTTTAAATACTGAAAGGAAATATTATAACGAAAGTGCCTAACAAACCAAGTAAATAATTTCTGTATGTTCTTAACCTTTCCTCTTTAATAACTTGGGGCACAAAACAGGAAAGAAGTCCTCACTATTTTAATATTCAGAAATATGACAGATATCTGTTATCCTTAGTTGTATTTAGAAAATACACTGACCACTATATGCCAGATAAATCCTTTTTCTAATAATATTTTTAGATTTTAGTTTCAATAGCTTTACGTTTAACCTAAATCCTAATGTTTCTAGCTTCAGTGGTCTACCGCTTTATTTGCAAGCATACAATTTGAAAGGATACCCCACATTCCATTCATTCTAGAAGCTCTAGTGAAAGTAGCTGAAAATCAGAATGTAAGACTGGATACTTTCAGGGTAGAACTGCACTTGGTAAGTGCCTTTAAAAAGATAATGTAAAACTCCATGTTTCTTGGTTTCTCCCCACCCCATATAAAACATAAGTACAAACCATTTTGAGTAATCCCATTTTTTTAAATATGAAGCACTGTACTTTCTAGTATTTTGTATAGTTCAAATTAATTTTTTGCTCTGCTAAAAAAAAAAAAGAAAAAAATTAATAAAAATAGCATAATTTCTTTACCCAGAGCTGAAGCCCATAGTCTCATGACAGTCTCCTTCTTCTCAATTTACATTCTACTCTTGCAGCCTAGTTTAGCTTTGAGAAATTTAATGGAACTTCAAAAAAATGAACAATTCTTAAGAGAAGACATCTTGCACATTTGCAAGAGGTAGTATGAACTCTATACATGTTAGCATGAAGTAATAAAAATGTCTTAGCTATCAGAAAAAAAGGAAAGAAGTAGATGGGACAGAAAAAACTAATATTTCAGTTAATACAGCATAACCTCATAAGCCCGGCATGCTCAGGACTGAGCACTTGCTGGAAACGTGAAAACGTCATATTTTTTAAACTGGTATGGTGGCTGGTTGCTTAGGGAGGACATGGGTAGCAGATAGCAGCAGCTGGTTTTGGAGCAGTGGCTGCACGTGGAGCAATAACACAGGGTGACAAATGGTGGTGGCAGCCGCTGCGTGCAAGCTTCCCCCTCCGCATCTGGGAGGATGGGGGCGGAGCGGTAGCCAGTCCCGGAGCACCTGGGGGAAGTGCTGGATTTTTGATAATTCTGGATTTATGAGGTTATACTGTATATACTCAGATTCTTTGGTCAAAGATATTTTTTGGAAATAAGTGTCCAAATCTATTAGGAGGAATGAAAACTGAATATAGTATTGCACACAGTCTCCTTAAAAGTCTGTCTATGAAACTGGAAATAGGAGTTTTAGGTACATAATTTAATATAACGAAAGAACATATACAAAACTATAAAATTTGACCAAGTAACATCTGTGCCATCTTAGTTGTAACCTGGGGAGTAAAACTCTTTAGACATCATTTTATAGCCAGCAGCTCAAGAGAAGTGGTTAGTGGTTAGAGCAGTGATTAGAGGTTTAGTTTAAAAAATGTTTAAGAAATATGTCATAAGCTCTTTAAAAAAAAAAATCAGAGCATTAAAAAAAAAAAAGTATTATGCAAGCTGCTAAGTTATGTCTCTGAAGTATTAGTATGATCATGGTAGTACAGCACTTTGTCAATGCACCATTAAGTCATGGAGTTGCATACAATGCTAGAACTTGGGTGTAATACAGGATCCTCTAGTGCTTTTACTAAGTAGTTATGAACATACAGAAGATGCTGTGCTTCAAGTGGGAGTCAGGTCCCACTTACTCATCTCTGCCCCCAGTAGAAGTGGTTCTCCCCAGTATTGCGGCCCCAGTGGCCCCGCCCCTAGATGATGACTGGCTATGAGGGTCATCATGCAGCCCTGCCCCTCACTGCCAATTGGAGAGGGGTGGGGCCACATAATAGGCAGCCCTCTCAGCCAATCAGTGGTGAGGGGTAGGGGCAGCAGCTTGGGCTCCCCTGTATGCCAGCAGCCTTCCTTCACCCCCCACCGTCAAGATGTGCTACCAGGCCACAGTACCATGAGGACTGCTGGCTCTCTCTGGGAAGCCAGCATTTTATTTTCAGTAAATTGTTTTTGTTTTGCTTTTTTTTTTTTTTTTTTGGGGGGGGGGTGGGGGGGTAGATTTTGTGGGCAATGTCAGATTTTGCGATTTCCACAAAATCAAGCTTTTGGTCCCTAATAAAGATGATTCAATTTACTTACACTGTCATCATAACCAGAGATCCTGGTTTTCTCTGATAAAAAAATCCCCAATGTTCAGATTAAAAAAAGTAACTCAAAACCCACATTTTTGCCTGATTAAAATGAAGCACCATTATACATTAGTGGCATTTCATTTTAAATCATGGAAAAATGTAGATTTTTGGGTTACTTTTTTAACTCTGAACATTAGGGATTTTTTATTTTTTTTTAAATCAGAGAAGGCCAGGATCCCTGATCAAAACTACTATGTAAGTAACACATTTTAGTGTGCTGTTTGATATCTTACATAGGAATACTGAACCAGAAAGTATATTGTAAATATATTAAAAATACTGTTATCAGGAAAATTTCATCTAATGAAATACTGAAGGGGAAACTGAGAATTATACCATTTCAAATGCCAAGAGCAATTTCTTCTTTCTTGGGAACTCAAGACTCAGGCAGCTTTACATGTATGGCAGAAAACATGTATTAGTATCTTTCAAATACTTAAAAAATTAAGTCAAAGAGGACTTACCAGCCTGTTTACATTTTCATACTGCTACATACTAAAATAAAAAGATTTCACAGAAGGCTTAAAGATATCTGACTTGAGAACAATTAAATATTTGTGCATGTCACCAATGAAAGTAGAGTATCTAAACAACGTGAAATCAAATACAAGGTAATATGTAATTATTTATTTTTAAACCTGATTTTTAAAGGTCCCCTTTTAAACAAACAAACAAAATGTCCCCCACAATTTCAAGGACTTAACTTGTTTAGCATCTTCTCCACCATTCTTAATTTATCAAATCACCATAGTAACTTGAATAACCAGTACTAATAGGGTGCACTTGTATTAATTCCATTTGTGTAATAAGCTTTAAATACAATGTATTTTCAGTGAACATAGCAGAAAAACTATTTTAACCGGCAAAACACAGCATTACATTTTCAAAGAAATTGTAAAAAAATTGACAAAATATATGTATATCAGAAGACAGTAAAACTGAAATGTTTAGAGACTCAACCATTTCTATAACAAGTAACATTGGTTTTAAATTGCATACAAAGCAAAACAATGCCAACATGCCTCCAGTCTGTGAGCTATGATAAAATATCAAGCTACATTTAAAGTAGAGAAGCAAAATAAAAATGCCACAAATAAGAATTAACCCAGAGGCACATCCCCTTGCAGCTGAACACAGGCAACCCACTTTTCCACTTCTATAATGCAGAGAGCCTAACAACAAAGAAAAACACTCCTATTCTACCCTAGTGAAACCTTTCATTTCTCAAACTCTGTCTTCGCATCTTTAAACATTTCTTTTTACTCAAACATCTTAATGAACGTTCAGTTCTATTAAACAAACACAGATTAGCAAGTCAGAGAAGCTCCTTAAGATAACCACTTTTCAAACCTTGCATAGTGACAGGTGGCATTGATATTGCTACCATAGCATCAGCAGAAGAAAAATCTTTACTTCAAAGTGATGCACATTTGTATCGCACAACTCGTTTTTGCACACAATTCAGTTTAAACTTTTTAATAAAATGGAAAAGTTTTTTTTTTTTAAAGGGAAATATAAAGATAGTGTTCACAAGCTTGGAAATAAAAAGATTAAGTACAAAAACAGAACATCCCTTAAAAATACAAAGCATAAACTTTCCATTGTAACAGCACCTTCTATCACCAAGTACATGCGACAAACTAGAACTTTAGTATAAAGCTGTCAAATGAAAGGTTTACTTTTTAATATAAACAAAGTGTAAAAATAATAATGGTTGCATTTTTCAAATTTAATGCTTTGCAAGTTTTTTGCCCTCCCCCCTCCCACCACCCCAAAACATTTGGTAGCAATTTCAATATGCATTTGATATAAACAACAAGACTTGATTTAGGAACCATGATAAAGATACATTGTGCCTAGGACAGTATTATTGTATTTCTGTTCAACTTTAACAGAATTGGAATGCTCAAGGACACTGTTAAGTTCAGGGATACTTTCAGCAGTATCCCCAAAACCATGATAGTGTCCATAGTGCAAAGTATCTCCTACATCTTCCACCCACGAGGGCCTGTTAGATACAAAGCTACTTGGGCTTCCATTCTGATGTAAGGAACCACACATATCAGTAGAAGTATTCAGGGCTTTTTCTGGTTCCTCAGTGCCATTACTGGTATGAATTCTATGCCTATTGGTAGAGGTTATTCCAGGAACTAATGTTAAACTTTCGTCACGCCTGGTATCCATTCCATTGAGCTGTGCTGTGCCGGTGAAGTCCAGATGTCCATTGATGGCACATCCATTTGTCAATGCGTTCATTATGGGACTACTGCTATTCATATCTGCATTAAGAAATACACCTGTCACCAAAAATTGAGACTCAATTGAAATACATCAAAATGCTTCTGTTACAGTTCACTTATTTAAAGGCTTCTGTAAGTGGGTTCTGAAAACAAAACTCAGTGCAAACCTCCTCCTCTTATTCCATGTCAGCACAGGAATTTAACAGTGATATGGTCTGACATGATCAGTAAATTTGAGAGCAACTTTCATTTTATTTTTGGAAACATAAGTCATATCTAAATTAGAAATATAAATATACTTAACTATGTTAATCTTTCTGAGGGCAGAATAAAGTTAAAATAAATTTTAAGAAACTGCATGTGGTAAGTGTATGGTAAGCAGATACAAATCCAATCAATATTTTGAAAAGTAAAATAAAAGTTGTTAAATTATCTTTTTAGGCATAAATTTTAAACCAGGCTAAGGCTAAAAAATTATGTATGTGCAAAAACTGATTTTTATATGAGGGGAACTAGGGTTTTTAACAGCAGTGATTTCCTTCCTCTTTAATGACAGTTCTCAGAAAGTAGTACATTCTGACATAAGCAATACAAACAAATCTTATGGAACTAATATAAAATGTATTCCAGAATAGTTCATTTAGCTAGTGCCTGACCTGCAAAGGTATTAAACAGGAAAAATAATGTTTATATTTAAAGACAGATTTCTGCACAATCCACACGCCAAATGCCATACAACTGCAACCGCAGAATGCACAGAAGACTAGAAGATTAGTAACAGGAAATAGTAAAAGCATGCATGCAAAACACACTGACAGCTATTTTTAAGCAACTCCTCTTCTGATATTTAGTAATTAGTACAGTAATTGTTTGCAGTAAAAAATTCATCAGTCAATTTTCAAGCTTATGTTTTTGCAGTGGTACTCAAAGCACTAGCATTAAAATAATTATTGATTCTGCCATAAAAATATCTATTGGTGAAACATATATACATATACATTTATGTTAACGTATGGCCAAAAATTAGCAACAAAAACTTTTGTTTTCTATTTATCTGAACACATGCACGTATTTATGTATAAATTAGTGCATAGACCCGTGTGCAGAAAATGACGACCTTTATTGTTTTATTTCTAGCTCAGGGCAGTTAGGAATTCTTTGGGTAACTCACCAAGTGATAAAACATCAGATCTTTTTAAAACAACAGGTAATGAGTACTACTGTTTCACACTAGAGAATCAGGCTATTGTTCCCTTAACAGTTCTTTACATAAATATAATTGGATGTACATGACACTGGTACTACATTTACAGTAAGTGAATACGGAGTTATCTGTGAAATTTGCTAGGTGCAGTAACTAAATGTTTCCTGTTTCATATCTATATTACCTATAATTACCACACTAAACTTACTAACTGTAGAGTACTACTGGAGGTTAGATTAAAAAAAAAATATTCAATCAACACATCAGACCCACTACTTCAGTGATGAAGACACACAATAAAAAAATTGTTCAAGTGTTTATTAACTGAAAAGTGCAAATTCTTAACTATTTTAAAATAGGTTATTTTGGCTACCTCTGCAAAGTGAAGTTTAACAAAAATGCCATTACTGTTAATCAATATTCAAAAGTAGATAATGACTAGTTCTAGTGACAATTACAGAATTCTGATCTTTGTGGGAAACCACTACCTATAACAATTACAGTAATTAAAAAAAGAAGCTAATTACTTCTCCATAAATATATTTGGTAACTATCACTGGCTTTTCACTATGTACTTTTAGATTATTGAATAAAATATATTTTATTCCTAAGACATTTTAATATCTATCCAATATCATCCACTTCGGTGAATTTGACTTAAAGTATAAAGCACAAACTTTTGATCATAGTATGATTTAAAATATAAATATTCATTTCAAACTATAATAATGCATCCATAGTGTAACTCCAGTCCTTTACCTACCAAGTGCATGAAGAAGCTGACCTAAGACAGTTTTCATTACCCGGCCATATACCCTCTAAGGTTATCAAAAAGTATTTTGATTAAGCAGCCCTTGAAAAAGCTTAGAAGTATTAAATATTTTCTACTACTATTATTACTAACAGCATGGGTTTTCATAAGGACAGATGCAGAATCCAAGCAGTGTTTCCTAAAGTATTTTAGTTGCAAATAGCTACCAACAAAGTCCTGCAGCATCCAGAGTCTCTTATCCAGATAAAACAAAGCAGTAATAGCTCACAGCAAGCCTCCTGTAGGCATATCGCTGTGTTTAAACAACTGTTGAATGCACTCTGGTTAAGCCTGGATTATTTTTAGCATCTGTTAAACTAGTTTGAAACTAGGTCAGTGGTACCACACATTATTTTGAAAACAATTTAAGTGCTATTTTTCCCTATTTTCTTATTGGCAATTAAATCTATTTGGTACCAGTGAAATCCATTATTTTAAATACTTCTGATTTTGCTTTTAAGCTGAAACTATAGTAACTAAAAGCAAGGCACATAAAATGTAAGCCTTTAATTAAAGTGAAACAGCTACAGTGAACTGCTCTTTAGTTCAGATCTATCAGTAATATTTCCCTTAGACCGTTACGAGATGTTCTATGAAACAGCTAATCTTTGATAATCTACTTAAAACCCCAATCTAGTGGGTGTTACAGAAATACAATCGTTTTCAAGACTGGGGACAAAGATGTGCAAAAAATAAAGAGTTGTTTTATATTTAAATTAAAAATAAAATGCATATTGATTCTTGCAACGACAAGGAGTTTGCATTGCAGAAACTGTGTAAATTTCAACCTCTTTTGGTCCAACAGAACCATTCTCCTGCTGTTTGGTGTCTTCAACCATTTGAATGGTGTTGTAGTTAACAGGAAATTGTCCACTCCCACCTGATACAACAGCAAACTCTCTATCAATGTGCATATTGTCAGCATCATCCTCAACTCCTCCGTTCACCATTGGTAATAAGCCATCAAAATTGTAAGCTGGTAAAAAAAAAAAAGGAAAAAAGTGTTAGCTTTATTTTCATGTATAGATTTGAAAGGGCATAACCAAGCAATAAATTTGAGAACATATTTTTGTTATTAAAATAGAAATCTTGATACACTGAAAACTGATTTATAAGCTTATGAAATATTTTTGAAAATATGCAAGAATGATATTCTGAGTTTGAAATAACTGAAGATGAGAGTTATTACCTTGATAAAGCAAAATAGAAGAAAAACAAGCTAACATTTAAAAATTACCTATCATTAGGCTTCATAGTTAGCACACTGGTATCAAGGAAAGCAGCTGACATCTCAAATAAAAGGATTCCAGCTCCAAATCACAAAGATGACTAGATTTTGAATGTTAACTTTCGTAACTACAATAGGTATAGGTTTAAATCTGAAGTAAAATTTTGGATTCTGGTGTCCCATCGTATCATACATCAAGAACCATTACATTTCAAATTAAACGACTATCATTCAGTATATAGAGGGTATCTTCTGAAGCTGCTGCTCACTTCTCAAGTTGAAGTTTTCCATAGTTTATAGCTATCTAATAGCAGCTTTGTTTATGTGGCATACACAGAAGAAACGTGCAAATACAGAAACATAATTAATTTATTCAAGTACAAGATAAAGGAGTGGCTTAATTTACCTTAGGCTTCTTTTGTTTTCCAACTGTATAGCTTCCACAGAGAGCCACACTTTCAGAGTCTTGTAACTAGCCATTTTATCATAAGAGTCTCTAAAAAATATCAGTAGCAATTGCTGTGGCCTAGGGTGGATTAATCAAGATCCACATGCCCTATCGATACAAACTGCCTGCTCTCATCAATGCTCTCCTGCTTCCAGAACTTCTTCCGTAACTGTGCTTCAAAGTAGAAAGGATGGAGGGTAGGCCACTGTAGCCATGAGGGCAATGCAGTCACAGAATAGGAGGTATACTAATCTTTGTACAGTATGAATGATATATCATGTAATTCATGATGTTGGGGGGGAATAGTCACTGATAACAGTGAAGAAGTACATGGGGGGTTGGTTTCCATGCAGAATAAGGAGGTTTCCATGCAGGCTGTGCGAAAAACAGCAGGTCTGCTATAAAATACTTGCAGAAAGTTGGGGCGAGAACCATCTGTTTGCCTTGATATTCTTTGGAAGTCTGCACCACAGAAAATCTCTTGTGTGCTTAGGGGGCCAGACTAATGGACCTATGCTATCTGTGTCATAACACCTTAATTTCTAGATATCTGGCCCAAAGTGGAGTTTGAATTTAAAAAAGAATTTCTTATTCAGTGCTTGGGAAGAGTAACACAACTCAAGGACGATCCTTAAGGTCCTTTAGATCTAGACAAGTTACAGAGGTGGGCGGATGAGAATAGGATGGAATTTAACACAGACAAGTGCAAAGTACTGCATGTAGGGAGAAGGAACCAGCAACACACCTATAGGCTGGGGAACACCCTTCTTGTCAACACGGTGGCAGAAAGGGATCTTGGAGTCACTGCTGACTCCAGGATGGACATGAGCCGCCAATGCGAGGAAGTGGTCAGTAAGGCTAACCGCACCTTGTTGTACATCTACAGATGCATCACAAGCAGGTTCAGGGAAGTGATCCTTCCCCTCTATGCAGCATTGGTCAGACCACAGTTGGTGTACTGCGTCCAGTTCTGGGCACCGCACTTCAAGAGGGAAGTGGCTAGCATTGAGAGGGTCCAGAGGAGGGCCACTCACATGGTCAGGGGGCAGCAGGGCAGGATGAAGAGAGGCTAAAGGGCCTGAACCTATTCAGCCTCCACAAGAGAAGGCTGAGAGGGGATCTGGTGGCCGTTTAAAAAAAAAAAAAAAAAAAAAAAAAAAAAAAAAAAAAAAAAAAAAAAAAAAAAAAAAAAAAAAAAAAAAAAAAAAAAAAAAAAAAAAAAAAAAAAAAAAAAAAAAAAAAAAAAAAAAAAAAAAAAAAAAAAAAAAAAAAAAAAAAAAAAAAAAAAAAAAAAAAAAAAAAAAAAAAAAAAAAAAAAAAAAAAAAAAAAAAAAAAAAAAAAAAAAAAAAAAAAAAAAAAAAAAAAAAAAAAAAAAAAAAAAAAAAAAAAAAAAAAAAAAAAAAAAAAAAAAAAAAAAAAAAAAAAAAAAAAAAAAAAAAAAAAAAAAAAAAAAAAAAAAAAAAAAAAAAAAAAAAAAAAAAAAAAAAAAAAAAAAAAAAAAAAAAAAAAAAAAAAAAAAAAAAAAAAAAAAAAAAAAAAAAAAAAAAAAAAAAAAAAAAAAAAAAAAAAAAAAAAAAAAAAAAAAAAAAAAAAAAAAAAAAAAAAGGGGGTGGGTGGGGGGTTTAAAAAAAAAAAAAAAAAAAAAAAAAAAAAAAAAACACTCAGCAGGGGGAACCAGCGGGAATTGGGGGAGACTCTGTTCCCCCAGGCACCACCCGGGGTTACTAGAAATAACGGCCACAAATTGTTAGAGAGAAGGTTCAGGGTGGACATCAGGAGACATTACTTTACAGTTAGGGCTGCCAGCCTCTCAAATGGGCTCCCCACTGAGGTGATACTCTCTCCTACCTTGGGGGTCAAGTAGAGGCTAGACAAATATTTGGCTGGGGTGATATGACCCTGGCACCCATTCCTGCCCGGGGCAGGGGGTCAGACCTGATGATCTGTTTAGGTCCCTTCCGACCATAAGCACTCAAAACCCATGATACTCAAAACCCATATGCTAATTAGTGCCCTGCCTAGAACTAGCTAATATTAAACATTAAACACAAGGATGTATCTGCAAACTTTCAGGGAATGAAAGTCCATGTGAAAAACTTTCACACAGATCACTTATTCAAGGTAGGTCTCTCCCTTCTTGGAAGTGGCATGAACTGGTAGGAACAAATTCACCGCAGGCTGAATTTGAGTGTTTGAATTGTGCCATGAAATATGGCACCTGGTACAAAGTTCACCACCCGAATGAAAAACATGGAAAGTGTCATTTTTTAAAAATCCTTTACAAGAAAAGCATGAAGACAATTTCTTTATCACCAAAGAGACTGAAAAAGAAGTGTTCTCTGATGCGGCCGGGAGCAGCCGATTGCCTGATGAAGGACTCCAAAGCTCTGGGGGACAAGCTGAAGGAGACAGGGGGACAAGGTGGTCTTCTCATCTGTTCTCCCAGTGAGCAGACGTGAACAACGCCATGAGACATGCATCAGGGAGGTCAACTTGAGGCTTCAGAAATGGTGCCTTGAGGCGGGCTTCGGCTTTTTGGACCATGACCCATACTTCAGAACAAGAGACATGCTTGAGTGGGATGGGCTTCACCTCTTCCCCAAAGGTAAATGTGTGCTCTCTTTCAGGTTGGCTGATCTCCTCCAGTGGGCTTTAAAGTAGGTTCGTCGGGGGAAGGGGAGGATGAGTATGGAGGGAGCCACAGAATACCGAACCAAGAGACACCCACAAGATCATCCCAGGTATGTAGCAAAGATCCTATTGGACAGCAGTTTAAGGGGGGACCAGGGACAGCCACCAGGGGAATTAGGTGGATATACACAAATGCCAGAAGCATAGGAAATGAGCAGGAGGATCTAGAGCTCTTGCTAGTGAGCAACAACTTTGACCTAGTGGGACTAACTGAAACCTGGTGGGGCTCTTCTCACGACTGGGTGGTAGGAATAGAGGGCTATAGGTTGTATAGGGGAGAGAGAATAGGGAAAAAAGTTGGGGGAGTTGCTCTCTATGTCAAAAAAAACACTACACATCTTCCCTAATCAAATTAGGGTCAGAGGGTGGTCAAGCAGAGACTTTGTGGGTTAGGATTCAAGGGGCTCGGGGTGAAAGGGATCTGGTAGTGGAGGTCTACTACAAGCTGCCACACCAGGATGACGAACTAGACCAGGAATTTTCCAAGCAGCTCGAAGAGGCTGTGAGGTCTAGATATGGTAGTCATGGGGGACCTTAAGTACCCAGACATATGCTGGGAGGAGCAGTCAGCTAGATCTAACTGCTCTCGCACGTCTTAACCTGTATTCAGGACCTCCACCCAACACAGGAGGTAAGGTGTCCCACCAGGCGCAATGCCTTGCTCGACTTGGTGTTGGCCACAGGGGATGACCTGGTGCGGGACCTGCGGATTCAAGGCAACTTAGGGGACAGCGATCACCAAATGAGTAAATTCACTATCCAGCGAAGGGCAGGCATTATACCTAGCAGGGAACGGGTGCTGAACTTTAAAAAAAGCTGACTTTAATAGACTCAGGGGATTGGTTAGCAGGGTGCTAGGAGCTAAGAACTTGGATGCGTTGGGGGTCCAGGATGGGTGGACATTGCTCAAGGAAACCATTCTTGGGGCTCAGAGTGAGTCAATCCCTGGCAGAGGAAAGGGGGCAAAGGGGCCAGGAAGCCCCTTTGGCTAACCAGGGGCATCCAAGTTACCTTAAGGGCAAAAAAAGAGGTGTACAGGAAATGGAAGCAGGGGGTAGCTGGCAAAGAGGAGTATACTTCTTTGGCCTGCACCGGCAGGGAGTTGGTCAGGAAGGCCAAGGCAACTCTAGAATTCAGGCTAGCGTCAGGCATTAAGGACAATAAAAAGTCCTTCTTTAGGTACATTGGGAGCAAAAAGGGTGCATGGTAGTGTAGGACTCATACAGGACGAGCAGCGGGGCTTCGTGACAGATAGCAGGGACAAGGCAGAGCTCTTCAATGAGATTTTTGCCTCTGTTGTCTTAAATGGGAATCTAGACGAACCCTCAACATACATCACAGACACCAACAAAGGGAACATCAGCCGACCAATGGTCAGTGCTGACACGGTAAAAAGACACTTGGAGGGACAGGATGTATTCAAATCACCAGGGCTGGAGGGACTCCATCCATGGGTAATGAAGGAATTAGCAGGGGTCATAGCTGATCCACTGGTAAGGATATATGAGTGCTCATGGTGCTCATGTCAGGTTCCAGAGGATTGGAAGAAGGCCAATGTTGTCCCAATCTTTAAGATGGGGAGGAAGGAGGACCCAGGGAACTACAGACCAGTCAGTCTTACCTCTATCCCTGGGAAAATCCTAGAAAAAATTATCAAGGAGAACATCTGTGGGAGCCCGCTGACTAATGTGATGTAGAGAGGTAACCAACATGGGTTTTTAGCAGGCAGGTCCTGCCTGACTAACCTAGTTTCCTTTTACAACAAGGCCAGCAATTGTTTAGATGCAGGAGTCGAGGTGAATGTTAACTATCTGGACTTCAAGAAGGCCTCTGACAAGGTATCCCATACCATCCTTAAAAATAAACTGAGGGGATTTGCCTTGGATGATTACACAGTAGACTGGGTAGCAAATTGGCTCAAGGGTTGCACTCAGAGGGTGGTAGTGGATGGGTCAGTGTCAGCCTGGAAAGATGTGGGCAGTGGAACCCCTTAGGGCTCAGTTCTGGGGCCGGTACTGTTTAACATCTTCATCAGTGATCTGGATGAGGGGGTGGGAAGCACCCTGTCCAAATTCACAGACGACACAAAATTATGGGGTGCAGCTAACACCTAGGAGAGGAGGAACTAGATCCAGGCCGACCTAGACAGGCTGGGGAAGTGAGCAGAGAGCAACAGGATACAATTCAATAAGGACAAGTGCAAGGTGCTTTATCTAGGGAGGAAGAACTGCCATCATACCTACAGGCTGGGGGGCGACCTTCTCAGCTCCACTGAGGCAGAAGAAGATCTTGGGAGTCACTGTTGACACCAGGATGAACTTGAGTCGACAATGTGATGAAGCAGTTGGCAGAGCCAATCACACCTTGTTGTGCATCTGTAGCTGCTTCACAAACAGGTCCAGGGAAGTGATTCTCCTCATCTATGCGGTACTGGTCAGACCGCAGCTGGAGTACTGTGTCCAGTTCTGGACGCCGAAGTTCAAGCAGGATATGGACAATCTGGAGAGAGTCCAAAGAAGGGCCACTCGCCTGATTAGAGGCCTGCAGGGAAGGTCCTATGAGGAAAGGCTAAGGGACCTTAACCTCTTCAGCCTCTCCAAGAGAAGGCTGAGAGGGGAACTCGTGGCTGCATACAAATTCATAAGAGGAGAGCAACATGAAATAGGCGACCATCTGGTCACCAGGGCACCCTCTGGAATGACAAGGAACAATGGCCATAAGCTTACAGAAGGCTTAGGCTGGACATGAGGAGAAAGTTCTTCGTGGTCAGGGTTGCCAGAACCTAGAATGGGCTCCCAAGGGAGGTGGTGCTCACCCCATCTTTGGGGGTCTTCACGAGAGTGGACAGGCACCTGGCTGGGATCACATGACCCTGGGGTTGGTGGCTTTTTTCTTGCCTGCCAGGGGCAGGGGGTCGGACTAGATGGCCCACTGAGGTCCCTTCCGACTCTATGAATCTAAGATGTTTGAAAAGAGCAATTGGTTTGACACTTGCTCAGTTTTGTTAAGAAGCAACTGAAAGACTCAAGCAATTTCCGAAAAGACAAAATAAGCGGGGGCTCCATGCAGGCTGTGCAAAAAACAGCAGGCTTGCTACAAAATATACTTACCAGCAAGCAGAGAAAATGGTGGTAAGTCCTGTAGTTTTGGGGCAGAGGGGAAAGGGAGAAGGGGGTGCAGGGTGGGGCTGCTTGCAGCAGGAGGCAGGAAGGCTTCACCAGGGTCCACAGATCCCCAGCCTGCCCCCCCCAGCTTTCACTTCCTGCCCTCATATCAAGCATAGGGTGATGTAGCTCAGTGAAGCCTACGGTGCTGGGGGAGCACACAGACAAGGCTATGTGGGGGGAGGCACCTATCGGGGGTAGGTGTGGGAAGGGGAAGGTGGAGCCACCTGACTGTGATCGCAAGGGAATTGTGTTTGGGAGGGAGGGGGGTGGGGCAGCTACGGCTCGTGGGGCAGCTACGGCTCCTGCTGGTGCAGCCCCTGTGGCATGTAGCCCTTGGCTACTAGGAAGCTGGATAGCCCTATTTTAGAACATGGGTAGGCCCAAGTCTTACTGCGGGGCTCATGACAAAATATGTTTATACATGCTTTTGTATAGAACTCAGTTATACTCTGTCCAAAAACTAAAACCCCCACACAAACAAACCCTAGCCATTGCCAAACAGTTGAGGAACAAGAAAAAAATAAGTAAAAAAAAAGGCTGTGAGATCTTTATGACTGTGGAACCAAAAGATGTTCTACAATCCCTCAAGAACCTTTTCATGAATCAGCTTCTCATACAAAATTCCTTCCAGCAGCCACTGCTACTCAGATGGCTCTCATTTTGCAAAACCATAGCATATGCTCCTCCAGAGTAGAAACTTACAAAAACATTTTTAAAGGATGGCATCAATCCTTGTTGTGAATTTTATTCATATCTGATTCAGGTTGGCATTAATTTCTGACTGTTAAAGTGTTTATTCCCTTTAATCTCATCAACAGTAATCCTTCCCCTTTCACCTTTGAAGTCTTACCTTCAGTCCTTGCTTTCTTTAATCCAGCAGACTCCATATCTTCAAAGGATCTCTTTCGACTTGTCCCACCATTGAGAGGATTGGAACCTGCATTCTGATGAACCCCATTTAAAGTGCCATTACTATAGAAATGATTCAGGTGACAGTTCTGGAGGTTCAAGAGAAACTGGGCACATTCTTGGAAGCCCTGGGTATGAGCAAGGTCTGCTGCTGTCAGGCCACTGGCATTTCTCAAGCTGCACAATACAAATAAACTGAATTACACTCATTCATCAACTTAGCTGGACTGCTGCTGCTGCTCTTACTGACTAACTATCTGTAGGTGACGAGAGAAAATATAAAACTTAGCAAATTTCCATTAAGGAATTAGCTATCAATCTTAAGATTCATAACTAACTTAACTCAACTTTTTGCACATATCTGGCTTCTAAGCAAAATTTGGGAGACAATACACTTAAGTAAAATCAACATAACTAAGTGCCTTTAAAAAAAAAAGCATCTTCCTATTTAAACTTCTTACAATGCTTAATTCCTAAAGTTAGTCTGAAGTATCTGACATTTATATGAACTTCAGACTTTAGTCTTGAATACTGAATTGTACTATTTTCTGTAGTTTATTCTGATAATCTATTGCTTTATCTTGAGTAAAAAAAATTAAATACTCAAAACAAACTTAGCATGACTTGAAAATTGTCCATGGCATTCTGATGTCTAAGACAACGAGAATAACATCAGTAATCTTCCTAACAATAAAATATATACACACACACATATATATATGCTATGCTTAGTTATGCTTTGCGTGTCTTTTTTCTGCTTTGTTTCTTATTACAAAGTATGTGACATTTATAAATGGCAGATTTTTCTGTAATTTGATCCAGAATTTTTCCAACTAGGTGACTGATATGGGATTCTTAATTTTCTGATGCAAAATGATGAAATCAAGACAGATAAGATACTAACAACTGTAGAAACAGGTTTAATTTGAAAGAGTTTTCCTTTGGTCCTTCTCTTTTGAAAACCATTTACACAACTGGCTTCTATGATTAGAAACATATACGAAAAATGTAAGAAACAGCTAGTGTAGACTCAGTAGAGTAGGAACAGAGAAATTAGAGGGCAGAACAGGGGATGTTGAAAAATCTTTCCTTTCTTGAAACACTAGGAAGTAGGTCTCATGAAAATGGGATTTTACATCTATGTTCTATGACTTAGTATCTTGGGCAAGAAAACATACTACTTTATACCTTCCACAAAAAGATAGAATTACCAACAGAATAAGAATTTTGAAGGTTAAGTGAGGCTAATCTATATGTTCCTTTGTTATATTTTCAGGGAAGTTCCAACAAACTGCTCTTAAGCAAATATACAAGAAAACAAAGGAACATGATCAAGTTCTATACAGGGTCGAAATCTCAGCAAGCCAAAAATACAGACTGAATAATGTAATTTTCTATTCAATAAGAACTCTTCTGCCATTACTAATGGTACAGAAACATTAAGCAAGAGAAGTGTCTAAGAGTAATTGAGAGCTGGCATGAAGCCCTAACACTTGACATGGTATGGAATAAGGAATGACAAAGGGCAAAGAACAGAGCTGCTTCCTAGAATATTGTGACTTGCTGGCCATACAGATCAGGAAGAGATGAATTACTTCAGAAGCAATTTAACCACAGTTGAGACCAATTCCTTAGCACACAGATACAGTTAGATTAAGCAAAGTAAGAATGGGTAGAGCAGGTGGAACACAGGTTCATTTCTTTTAGTTTCTGCAATTAGAAATGCCATTAACTAAGGAAGATCAAGGCAGCTTCCTTTCTTACAAAGTCATCCGTTACACACCCTATTTGGTACTGTTAATTTATTCATGCAGCACAGTATTTTTTTAATGCAGTATTTCCAAGTCTTTGAATTATACCCTTTGTTAAGTATCAAATTATATATCTACTTAGTTCAACATCTGAAAGAATAAAAGATAGTTTTCTATCCTCACTCAGTTGGGGGTGGGTAAAAGAGTAGAATACAAGCAGGGACAGACTGCTTAATGTCTCTGAATCTCTGCTATGGCTTTTCAAAGTCGCTCGATGTTCTGGTATCAAGCAAATCTTCTAAACAAGGTGTGTATATGAATTTACAAATGACTTTGAACAATACCTCTGAGTTACAGAATCACTTAATTTTAATGAGTGATAACTCAGATACTATTAATTAACAGTTATTATTAAAGTATTTCCCTGCTTAATACTGTGAAAAAGTAAGATAAGGTTATGATGATATACACTACCATTTTCCAAAGTGGCACTGAAACGAGAAAAACTAGCAAGTGGTGCGTAAGAGACTGTATACATTAAGATGTGTAGTCCTTTAACACCATGTGACCAAGTTGCTGGGAATGAAAGAAGTCAATTAGCTCAATTTTCAAAAAGTTGGCAATTCTCTTCCACACATCCCAAATTTTTAAGATTAATAGAGCAAAAGGAGAGAAGAGACATAATGAATTAGAATTTCTGGAAGGAACAGCTTCTCTTATTCAAAGGTCTTCATGTACACAATGAAATTGCTATGAGACTATTATAACAATAGTACTGTGGCAATCTGTATGGTACCAAAGAACTATATACTGTATAAGATCATGGTCTATATCCCAGAGAGCTAGCAAATTCACCTTTCGTAAAGAATGAAATATTCAAATTGGATCTTAACTGGACAAAGCCAATATATATTTTATACTTTAGGAGATTTAGGAACTTGAAAAAAAAAAGAAAATGAGGACCAAACTGGACTTGACAGAAAAGTTGTAAAAATCCAGATGTCCTCAAAAAATGGTATATTCTAGGAGTTGGCAGCATACAGCTGTGGAGCCAGGGAGCTTTGCTGCACTGAACCAGGTTGATCTGGCCTACAGCTCCAAAATCTTGCCTATTGCTGGTATAGTCAGTCTACTAGTTTGGCTTCCTTGTTTTGGGCCATTCTCTAAACGAAGCTTGTTTCACAAGCATATAAAATGACAATGAGAGGCTAAGAGTGCTGTGAAATTTTAATGGATGTTAACATTGGGAAAGACCGCAAAGCACTCAGTTAGCCATATTCATAGAATTCAAAGGAAAAAACCACTAGAATCAAGCAGCGTTACTTGATTTCAGTGCTACTTAATTTGAATAGAGTTCATCCCTTTAAGATACCCATATACTTGCTGAATTTGTGTTTCCAAGAGGTGCCATAAAAAGGACTGGGTGAGACTTGCTGCCACTTCTGGACAGAATATAGGAGCATAATGAATAACAATAGTCTCATACACAGTCTTTTAAAACATCCAAGTTAGAGCATATGCATGCATCAAAAAGCTAAGGCCTCCAAAAGCACTGCTCTGGATTGGGGCTGTTACAGACTTGGACTGAAATTCCCAAGCAGCACTTATATAAAAGGATAGCTCTCTGGCTCCACAGCCATATGCTGACATCTCCTTTCAGGATCGAGTTCAGGATCCTGACAAAAGGAAGAAAGGAGTGCAGCAGAGTATGGATCCGGGACTTCAGAAAAGCAGACTGATTCCTCAGGAAACCGATGGGCATGATCCCCTGGGAGGCCAGTTGGAAGGGGAAATAAGCCCAGGAGAACTGGTTATATTTTAAAGAAACTTTATTGAGGGCGCAGGAACGAATGATCCCTATGTGCAGAAAGTATAGCCTACATGGCAGGACACCAACTTGGCTTGGCAGAAAGAACTCTTCAGTGAGCTTAAACACAAAAAGGAAGTTTACAAGAAGTGGAAACTTGGACAAACAACTTGGAAGGAGCATAAGAATATTGCTCAGCCATGCTGGGATGAAATCAGGAAGACCAAAGCACAACTGGAGTTACAGCTAGCAAGGGATGTGAAAAGTAACAAGGGTTTCTACAAGTATGTTAGCAACAAGAGGCAGGTCAGGGAAAGTGTAGGTCCCTTACAGAATGAGGGAAACAACCCAGTGACAGATGAGGAAAAGACTGAAGTACTCAAGACTTTTACCTAGGTCTCTAAAAACAATGTCAGCTCTCAGACTATTGCACTGGGCAGGACAGTTTGGAGAGACGGTGAGCAGCCCTCAGAGAAAGAAGGGACTATTTAGAAAAGCTGGAGGTGTAAAAGTCCATGGGGTCAGATGCAATGCACCCAAGGGTGCTGAGTGAGTTGGCTGATGTGACTGCAGAGCCACTGGCCATTATCTCCGAAAACTCATGATGATCAGGGGAGGTCCCAGACAACTGGAAAGGGAAAATATAATCCAACTTTAAGAAATGGAAGGAGGATCCAGGGAACTACAGAGCAGTCAGCTTCACCTCAGTCCCTGGAAAAGTGATGGAGCAGGTCCTTAAGAAATACATTTCTAAGCATTTGGAGATGAAAGAAAGTGATCAGGAACAGTCAGCATGGATTCACCCAGGGCAAGTCATGCCTGACCAGCCTAATTGCCTTCTACGATGAGATGCCTGGCTCTGTGGATGTGGGGAAAGCAGTGGATGTGGTATAATAACTTGACTTCAGCAAGGCTTTTGATACTGTCTTTCACAGCATTCTTGCAAGCAAGCTCAGGACATATGGGTTGAATGAATGGACTTGTAAGGTGGACAGAAAGCTGGCTGGATTGTTGACTCAACAGATAGTGATGAATGACTTGAGGTCTAGTTGGTAGCTGGTATCAAGTGGAGTGCTCCAGGTGTCAGTCCTGGGGCTGGTTTTATTCAATAACTTCATTAGTGATTTGGAAGACCGAATGGATTGCACTCTAAGCGAGTTCATGGATGACACTAAGCTGGGTGGGAGGGGGGGTAGTAAATAGGCTGGAAGGTAGGACTAGGATTCACAGTAACCTAGACAAATTGGAGGACTGTGCCAAAAGAAATCTCATGAAGTTCAACAAGGAAAAGTGCAAAGTCCTGCAGTTAGGATGGAACAATCCCATGCACTGCTACAGGTTTGGGACCAGCTGGCTAAGCAGCAGCTCTGCAGAAAAGGACCTTAGAGATACACTGGACAACAAGCTGGATATGAGATAAGTGTGCCGTTGTTGCCAAGAAGGCTAATGGCATACTAGGCTGCATTAGTAGGAGTGTTGCCAGCAGATTGAGGGAAGTAATTATTCTGTTCTACTTTGCACTGGTGAGCCCACATCTGGAGTACTATGTCCAATTTTGGGCCTGACAATATAAAAAGAATGTGGACAAATTTGTGCGAGTCCAGCAGAAGACAACAAAA